CGATACATATTTCGATACATGCAATCGTTTACAATAGAAATTTACAACTAACCTATAAAACTATCTTTACTCCCTAAAGAGTAAAAATGCTACTTTAGACCCGCAACGCATGCATTAAAAACGACTGTTTTGACTGCAGCATGACAAAAACAATATAGTATGAACCCCTGATGACTCCGCTCAATTTTGTGGATGCCTCTGCAAACGCCACCTAGTAAATAAATGCTTACGAACAACGCTTGATTTAGTACCAGAGGAAAAGTATCCAAGATGTACATACCAGATTTATTTAAGTATCGTCTACGTTATTTTGTGTTTATGTGTGTTTGTTATGTCGTCTTGTCCAATCCTTAATGATGACCTAAATTTCGAAGGACTACGCAGTCTATTTTTTGGACCTTAGGGCGTATTATAACCGAAACACAATTACGTCTATGTAGTTGGTTCACAACTACAAATGATCAATTGACTGTGCACGTGCAAAGTAAACCTAAATTCTATGTAACTTTACCCAAAATTTGACACAACCTAGTTTCTTCGAGCTCTACTTATATCTACATGTAGTTACAAGCTACAACAATCGGGCTATCTCGAATACAGACGAGGGCGGTAATTGTAGGGCTGAAATGAACACTCCCTTCCATCTCAGGATCTTCTCATATTTCATTACAATAACTACAGTAATTCACTCTTCCTCAGTTGTATAATAGGCTTCATAGCACTTGTAACCACAATGCATCGCATCTTGAAACAAAAACTAGATTCTAATTCTGAAACAATTGTTGGGAACTGTGTTTCATTGAATCGATCGATTGTTTCAAATCACACGTTCAGAAATATTGGATCTTGTAGAGACTCGAGATTATTTTATCTGAACACATACATTTTTTCTGAAAGTTGTTAATTAATATTTTCTTGCCTTACTGCAACAAGGACAGCCGTTTTTAATACTTGCGTTGCGGGTCTAAAGTACTCTTCAAGTCCCTATGAAATAATAATCAGCTGTTGTAAAGAGTTGTGTACACTTCGATTGTCAACGGCTTGTATCGAAATTATTTATTGAATGATTTGATCGGTTGTAGCTTTTTGTTGCAATATTGTCAATAGTTCGTTCGACATATCGATTAGTAATGTACGGTAATAGACAAAATGGTCGGATCACTATTTAATTTCGTCATACGAAATTGTCGAACAGTTGCTTATTTTGCATTAGCAAATATTGAAAAGAAGCTAGTGAAACTTGAGCTCGGGTCGAAAAAAAAAACCACTTTCCGCCCTAGTGATGAAATATACTATATTGTACTATGGCATTCATGTGTTCAGAACATATTTTAATTTGTAAAACTTTTTACGTGTTTGTAGTGTAGAAAGGAGTGAGATGCCTTGTGTAGCTTTGTTACTACGATCAGCTGTTTCATTGTTGGATTATTTTTAAAATCCAGTCTCAAGTTAAGCAGCTCGGTAAAAAAAGCTACATTGTTCATGTCGAAGAACGATCTATTAAATCATAAAGTTTCGTGCAGGAATTCGGACCCGTTCGTTGTTTGGTGGATTTCTAGAAGAGATTTAGATTGAGAGCTAAGCTGAACACACACAACGGCGACAATGGTAATAATGGCAATACGCCTCGGGCCGCGGCGCTCCCAAAGATTTCAAAGAGAGATATTGTTCTTCGACAGAATACAAATTTTGTTTGCACTCCATGTAATCTAGTTTTATCAAACACAATTTCACATGCTAACTCTGAATTCATCATCGGAAGTATACAAGGTTTCCAACTGGAATCTTGTGAGTTTTGGAAATGGTTGAAAAGTCCTTGTCCAAACCAGTCATTGTAGTTTTATCCTAAAATCTTCATTTCTTATTTACGAGTCCAGCTGCCTTGACTTTTGTTTATTTGTGGGTTTTGACCTATATTGGAATTTTATGTGTGTTTCTTTTTAGTTTTTATTTTTTATTTAGGGAATGGTGGAAACGCTGGTTTTGTTACTAACGTCTACTTGTTTGTTACAAAGAAAATGGTATCTGAGTCTATAATCAGCTTAGCTTCGAATCGAACCAGCCCACGCGTCATGAAGACCTGGAATCGAGAGTGCCAAGGATACCATCTTGAATTTAACTTTGCCCTCAAACTATTCTTTTGTCTTGGGAATTCATAATTTGTCCTGGAGTTTTTGTTTAGGTAATTTCTCTTCTTTCATTATGTCTCTGCTGCGTAATTCATACATGAAGGTTTCTTTGTTAAATACAATGTACTGAAGTACACACAGCTTTCGCATTGGCAAAGTGATGTAAAATTTAACAAACATCCTAATCAAACACATTCGTTGGATAGATTTTGTGCTCTATCCAAAAAAGGTTTCCATTTTTATGTGAAAATTAATTTTTTAGTACAGTAATGGTCTTTAGTTTGAAAATCATCTGTGTTGAAATCCTACAATAATTTACTGATTAGTATACCCCTGATGTTGTGGAACACAATGCTTTCGTCCACGAAACGTCCTAGATTTGTTTAACCATTTGAAACCTTGATTGAGAACATAGAGCGTTTCCTTGAACAATAGTGTCAGTGATGTAGGGTGAGATCATCATTGCCACTCCCTCTGCGGCGTAGTGTTGTTGGCCTTGATGTAGGTAATCATAACCATCATCATCCTCATCGGTCAATTGATGCGCGGGACTCCTGCCCTTGGGACTCTGGTTCGAATCCCGCCAAACACAATTAGGTTAAGAAACGTAAGGATGACTTCACCTGGTGATTCATAACCCACCTTGTGTTGTTGGATATGTTGTCTTAAAGTTCTGGGTTCTAATCTGGCCAGTCACCGATGGATTTTAGCTAAGTGCTGCGTGTTAATGACGTGATCCAATGATTCGGAACCCACCTGAGAATTAAAATCAGAAACACTTTATCCTAGATTTAAAAAAAACAGTATATAAAATGCTTAAAGCTTAGTATGAAATAAAGAATATTGCAAAATTTTATAAAAATATATGTATTTTAACAACAGTGTATCTATTCTCCATAAGAATAATATGGAATTTTAAATTTAATAGTGTTTTTGTAATTTTATACGTAACTATTAAGAGTCCTTGGACTCTAGAGGCCATCTTGGATGATTCCAAACAGCTGCTGAAGAGTTAATTACCATCCAAAAAAATAGTTTTTTTAAACACCAAAAGGATTATAATTTAAATATCTTGTATACTATGAGATTAAAAATTGTCTTTGTTGTTTTGAATTGATTTCCAAGGGAGTTCATGGAAGCCAACGGCCATCTTGGATTTGCCCGCCATAAGAGCAATGTTAATTTTGTTATTATTAAACAGCCGCTGAAGAGTTATTTACTATCTCAAAATATTTTTTTCAAATACCAAAGTGATTGTAATTTAAATATCTAGTATACTGTGGGATTAAACATTTTCTTTGTATTTTTTAAAATTGTTTTATGAGTTAGAACGTCTAGGCTCTAAGGACTAATTATTGTATAACTCCCTTTTTCGTGGTCAAAAATCTTGAATAAACAAGTCTAGGCGTTGATGACACGACCCGCACAACATGAACGTAGCAGGACTGCATCTACTAGATCGAAGGCGTTCGTATCTTTCATTTGCGCTGACGACGTGATTTTGTAATATATCGATTGCATTTTTTATAGCAATGTTTGAAGTTCACATTTCAAAAATGGGGTAAAACTGTAGCTACTATTGTTAGAAACAATTACTGAATCTATAGGTTATTGAAAAAAATATTTTTGGGGGTTTGGATAGAATAATTTAACTATAAAATAACATTCCCGCAGCAAACCTGCAGAGTGCAGGCTAAGCGAATTTCAATTTATATGATGGGAATTTGACTCATTTTCATAAACAAGTCATATTTATTCACTATAACATTTTTTATTGAGTATGCTGCTTAGGCGAATTGAAAATGATTCAATCATGCGAATAAAAATTTGCTTAGTCTACAGGTTTGCTGAGGTAGTAACATTTTGTCAGTTCTATGTTCTATTGTACAACTCATGTAGAAAGATAACCTTTATGATTAGAAGATACACTAATAATGGTAGAAGGTAATAATGGTATATAATGTACCTATAGTGGCAGGGGTGGTTCTAAGAGGGGGGGAGTTGTTGCTACAGGAGCAGGGGCTAAAGCCCTCCCATTGAAAAATAAATCCAAACATATATTTCAATTTCGGGTAACAGAGGTTTTTGGATACTGTTCTAGACGTTAGAAATCATCAAAATGCTATTTAAAAAAACCAAATTTTCTGGGGACGATGAAACTGCCCTGATATTTTAGATACGTTTTAAATTATGAAACTGCCCTGCTCATTACAGAGCATCAAGAAGGATTGCCTCGCCATACCAGAAATGCTGAAATTGCCCCGAGCGCCTGGCTAGGTAGTTGCTATGGTTCTGGCGAAAAAGGGAATTATTGTTGTCCTTGCGTTCTGTCATTGATTGCATTCTTCTAATAACTACCACCAATATCAGGAATACTAGCTTATTTTAGGTTAGGTTAGGTATTGGTACAGAAACAATTAATTGTGACTTGACAGGAAAAGCGGTCGACAGTAGTTTTGGAAAACTGCAGTCACTGAGAGGATACAGGTACAAAAATAATTCCCTTTTTCCCCAGTCCCTGGTCAGGCGCTCGGAGCAATTTCAGCATTTCTAGTTTTGCGAGGTGACCTTCCTAATCCTCTTTAATGAGCAGGGCAGTTTCATGTTTGAAAAGTACCCAAAATGTCGGGGCAGTTTCACTACGCCCAATTTTCCAAGGAAGGACTCCCTGACAACCCCCCTCCTTTTGTTCCAAACCCTACAGAACCCCCCTGGAAGCCTCCCCTTGACAAGGTCCTAGAACCGCCACTGTATAGTGGTGATGCAAAAATATGACCTTTAATATATAAATCAGTTACTAAAAAGACCATGGTCCTTTATTCATGATTAGTTACTAAGATCAAGAATCTCATTTTACACATTTTGTTGCAGAAAGAGTCAGTGGAGTTGGCCCTGAAGCTGTTGGATGGCTCTGATGTCAGAGGTCACTGCATCTCAGTGGAGAGGGCAAAGTTCACCATGAAGGGACAGTACGACCCGACACTCAAGCCTAAAAAGAAGCGCAAGAAGGATAAAGAGAAACTGAAGAAGATACAGGAGAAGTAAGTAACTGATTCTGCCTAGGTTTAGAATTGTCTTGAAATTGTATACTTTTGGCAGGGTTTTTTTCTTACAATTCACTCTTAGACACTGAAGTTGACTTCCAATCAATGTGAAACAACCATGGATTTGTTTCAACTAGTTGAATGAGGTTATTACAAAGCAAGCTAATGCTACTATTCCTTAGTTTTTGTTACTAGAATAGTTTATTTAAAATAGGTTGTCCACTGAGTAATGTTAATTTCCATTCTCAAATTGGGATAATTTTAACATGTTCTACTCCTCTCCATATAGTCTAACGTTTAGGAATAGAGTAGCCTAGTTTTATATTTTGTTTTCACATCACTGAATAATTACTATTATATTACCGTTGACTTTTGGACACTGAAGAAGTCTTACTTTCCATATCAACCAGATGTCATCATTTTTTTTCTTTCTTAAAAATAACGTAGTTCCATGAGCCAGACATAGGTTGTGCTAGTGTCTAACATTCTATTTTCTATCTAATATTTCTGTCAATGGGATAGTTGATGTGACATTAAAGATGCTATATTGTCTTACAAAAAGTCGTCCTAACAGTTTGACTTGGTTAAAAAGTCCAAATATTCAACAGAAATGGGTAATTTACATCAGTGCAATCTGTCAGTGGGGCAACTAATTCCATTTTTACATAAAAACTGGCGAAATGTGGATGGAATATCTAGTTTTTCAATAGTCAAAGCTATTACGGTTAAGTTGCTGATGGCTCGTTGATAATTGAACCGACACCATTGAACCATAAGCTTTGAGGAGTTCTAGGATGAGCGAATATTTACGTTCCTAGAGACAGAGAGGAAGAGTATTTTCAAGAAACATAATTTTGGTTGTAGAACTTAACACATTAATTTTAGGGAATAAAATTGATTTTGTATATCTCCTATTACCTATTGTAACATAGTTTATGTTATGTCTAGACTGTTTGCTTGGATGCCAGACAAGTTGAGAGGTGAACGAGCCAAACACGAGAAGATTGTGATAGTCAAGAACCTGTTTGAACCTGAAATGTTTGATAGAGATGTCAAGTTGATACTTGAATACCAACAAGATCTGAGGGAGGAGTGTTTAAAGTGTGGCGCTGTCAAGAAAGTTGTCGTTTTTGACGTGAGTACTTCAACACAATGTATTAATTTTTCATCAATTTTTTGTCCTACCTTTTACATCCTAGGACGCTAGATTCTTGCACAGAACCATTTTACACATAAATTGAGGCTGGGCCTACTTATTTTCACTGAACAGAAAATCACACTTCATTAAAGAAGTCACAAAACATACCTACCTCTTTCCGCAAAACTTTTCTGATCGTAATAAGACATCTGATACTATTGCATTTGTCTTCACATACACTCTCCTTTTACCTCACTGTTCTTTTCCGAATCCTAAATATTCTTTTGAAATTCACAGCTGTTCAATTGTTGGTACACACCTTTTGGTTCTGTTAAAACACATCAATTTCAGTCCAATGAGAGGATTACTCGTTCTCATTAAGGTAAGTCTAATCCCTCCTATTTCCTTACACTCTGCAATGGGTAGATAGCAATGGGTAAGTGTTTATACTTCTTCAATAAAATTTATAATTTTTTCAGAGACATCCTGAAGGCGTAGCCCAAATAAGCTTTAAAGAGTTTGAGGCAGCTGATGCTTGTATTCAGTTACTAAACGGAAGGTGGTTTGGCCAAAGAAAAATAACTGCTGAATTATGGGACGGCCACACAAAATACAAGTAAGTTTTAATTTTTATATCTTTCTAAGTATCCAATTATTAGAACTTAATTTGGATACTTGTTATTCGGCGCAAAATTGGTATTTTGTTTTTAAACAGCTTTCTTTGGCTTTTTCTCACGATGGTTTAGTTTTTTTACAAATAAGTGAGTTCCTTACATGTAACTCAACACCAATGTTTTTTGTTATGTTGACAGAATCACCGAAACAGACGAAGAAATACAGGCGAGGCGAGCAAAGTGGGAAAAATTCTTACTGGCAGAAGAAGAAGAGAAAGAAGCAAAAGAGAAAGAAAATAAAGAAATGACCAAAGATATTGAGGTTAAAGATGCAGACAATGAGATTGAAACTGAAAAGAAAGACTCAAATGTTGTACAAGAAGATTCAGATGCAGATACAAAGAGTAGTGTAGGAAGTGAATATGACACAGATGAAGAAGTAAATAATTAATACTTGTAATATAATAATACAATTTTAATTTTTTTATAAATTCGATACTTTGTACCTTTCCCATAGTTATGAAATTGAGACTAACCAAGAATCAGCTTTGTGAATTGTGTAAACATTTTAATTTGAAGGTAAAATATGGACTTTCCTATTGAGAGTATTTCTAACTACACAACAAATTTGTAGGTAAGAAAACTCCTCCTGGTTTCAAGTGACTGTTATATCTCAACCCCAGCATTTAGCTACTGAACGTACTTACCTAAACCTAACATAACAATTTTGTAGTTTTTTTCACGCTAACTACACAAAACAATATACAAATATGAAGACAGAAAAGCAATGAACTGAAACTAAACAACACTATACTCATCAGCATGAAGCCCCAAAGCTAGCAAAACTAACACCATAGATTCTCAGTGTGTACAGGCCGTTTGAAAAAGACTCATCCGATATAGAAAAATTAAAGCTATTTATCAAACAATATACAGTTGGAAAGAGGAAGCTCTGAAGTTTCACTTTGTTTCATGGTGGACCGAGCAGCAACACCAAATTGTACAGCATGAGTATTCCCCAAAGGTTAATATTTTTTGTGCAGTCTCACAGAATTACATGTGTGGTTCCTTTTTCTGAGAACACTGTTACGGGAATAACATATTTAAAAATGTCAGGAAACTATCTCTTCCCTCAGTTGGTAACAGATTCTAATAAATTCATACCAGGACGATGATCCACCGAACTGAAATCTTCACGAGAGACAGTTTTTAAATGGTACGCTTCCTCAAAAATGAATCGGGTGTACTGGACATAACGATTCCACGTTACATCACTGACCTCCAAGGAACTTACTGTTTGTGACTTTTCGTGGGGGTTTCTAAAAGACACTGTTTATATCCCTGCTTTTCAAACAACATTGGTCGAATTGAAGAACCGCATTAGAATCCGTCATGGAATCAGTTACTCAAGACATGCTAGCTGAGGTGTGGGACGAATTTGAGCATCACCGAGACATATGCTGTGCATGTAAAGGGGGCCATATTGAGCACCTGTAAATGGTATGTAATAAACGGTATCAGCATTCTGACACATACTTTCTCCCATAAGCTTGTCAACAACCTTTATCATGTGTAAGCGGTGAGAGTAAATATACGGAAATTGGATTTGTACAATTTTCTTCAGAATTTCTTCAGAAAGGACTATAACATACTAAATTTTTATCAAAATTGTTCAGGCCATTTTTGGGAAAATCCTATTTTTCCGTTATTTTATGGGGTTTTATGGGACAATCCCCATTAAAAATAAAAATTTCTAAGAAATGAAAAAAACTATCACAATTGTAAGAACCATAACAATACCATACAATGTTAAATCAAAACTGGGTTTTTGTCTAAAATCCTATTTTTCGTTATTTTATGGGGTTTTTATGGGAAAAATAACATAATTTACCATAACTTTTGAACCGTAATTTTTACAGAAATGAGATTTGTACCATTTTGTTCAGAATTTAAAGGGCTACAACATACTAAATTTGTATCAAAATCGTTCGGGCCGTTTTTGGGAAAATTATATTTTTCCGTTATTTTATGGGGATTTATGGGAAAATCCCATTAAAAATCCAAATTTCTAAAAAATTTAAAAAAACTATCAAAATTGTAAGGACCATAACATACTATGTTGAATAAAAACAGGATTTTTTTATAAAACCCTATTCTTCGTTATTTTATGGGGTTTTTATGGGAAAATAACATAATTTACCATAACTTTTGTACCGTAATTTTTAGAGAAATGGAATTTTTACCAGTTTGTTCAGAATTTAAAGGGCTACAACATACTAAATTTTTATCAAAATCGTTCGGGCCATTTTTGAAAAAATTCGATTTTTCCGGTTTTTTATGGGTTTTTATGGGAAAATCCCCATTAAAAATCAAAATTTCAAAAAAATGAAAAAAACGCCTGGAGATACCATGGATTAGAACCTACATACCAAATTTCATCGAAATCGGACCACAGGTGTAGTCTCTAGCTCTGTACACATCCAGACACACAGACACACACACACACACACACACACACACACACACACACAGACATCACTTCGAAAACCACTTTTTTGGGTCCAGGGGGACCCAAAACGAATATATCCACTCAAAACTCAAACTCGAAAATTTTGACGAAAACAATACTTTCTCCATATACTATGGTATAGGGGGAGAAAGTAAAAAACTATTAGCTATCCCCTTAATATAAAATTAACCTCATGTCCATATGATCATTAGTATTGAAATTATAAACCTAAAATCGGATGATAATTGTTAAAGTACCTTGTATGTTCAATGTGCTAAAAAAATGTGTTTTTTTTCTGCTACTGCGTGAAAATGATCATGTTGCCACAATTATTGTAAACAGTACACATAACAGAGTACTCTGCTTTAATTATTCCCGCTAAATCAGCTGATTTCACTGTTGGCGTTTCTACAAAACTCTATCCGTTGTGAAAATATTGTTTTGCAAACTCTGTATTTTACAGCTTTTGGATCACTTTCCCAAATAATTTGTTTCTCTACTCCATATTTCTGTCACTGACAAAGAGACAACTCCATACAGTTGAGGGTGTTAATAATAACAAAACAACAATCAACATACAAACACCAAATACAATTTATTATTAATTTTGTATACAATTTACAAAATTGCTATTCAATGTAGGCACTAAACACAGCATTGTACATTCTGTTATTCACATCAGACTAGTAAAACCTTATTCTTATGTTTAGGTTACTATTGAAAAATGCTTTACATACACCTTAAAGAACCATTCATATTGAGAGTTTGAGAGACTAATGTCAAATTAATAATTATAACAGTAGGTAATTTTATGTCAAATTACTATCCAGGACAAACTACCACCCATAGAAATGAAAATATACCCACGGATTTTTGTGGGAAGACATATTATCATGAAAATGAACCAGAATGAATTCAGTTAGTTCTTTATCCAGAAACGATTTCACAAAGAATGAAAACGTTATAAAGTACGGGTACTGCTAAAAGCTAATATACACTTTAAAAAATTAAGCACACTGATCAAATAATCATAGGAAATTATTAAAAATGTAACTAAGCTTTTGTCTAGTCGAAGTAAACAGATCAACATTTTCTTTGAGAAATAGTCTTTAGTTTGAAGTTAGAAAGCATTTTAATTTCAGGTAAGAATCACAAAATACCGTACAGTCCCTGACAGGAATTCCTCATCTACGAACTCTGGTAAAATCCCCTATAAAAAGCCGTTTAAAAGCCAGTCTGATATAAAACTAATTACCATTTCCACACATATAACTTGTGCATTTACAAAACTACAAATTGACCGAATGCATATCTTTTAAAACGTAGATAAGTTACAATTGTTAAAATCATTACTTGTTAACCGTAGAAAACCACTAAATTAAAATAATTGACTAGACACCGGTACGAACATCAGTTAAGCGCCTTTTTCATCTCTTGGACACTTACAGCTAAGCATAGAATATAATATTTTGATTTAAAACAGTCATGACTAGATTACGTTTGTGCAAGGCACGCATATAGTGTACTTTATACTACTCATCACAGGGCTATTGCTGATCCACTTGCTGCTCATAAAATTGTGCACATTTTTGACTGAAACAAAATACAATAGACTATGAAACAATTGAAATTGAAAATAACTAAAACATTAATATAAAATGGGGTTACTAACCTGACGTCAATCAATCCATTTGTGTTGTGATGACTAAAGTTTTGGGGTTAAAACCCCATGTTCAAATCTTCACTTCATTATACACAATCTGGTTTTGTCCTTGGTTGGCCTAGAGCGATTGTACATAATTTTGTAAATTTAAATGTTTCCGTGTGTGTTTATGTGTAATGTATTATTGACAACGGCAAGTGCAAGAAGATATGTTTGTCGATTTGACTACTGAAGATTTGAAAATGGGATTTTAACCGTTTGAGTGCCAACGTCCGGCCGACCGGACGTTTTTAGAACGAGCCAAAAGTGCCAACGTTCGGCTGACCGGACGTTTCGTAATGATCGAACAGTTGTCATAACAACCGAATGGATACTCGGATTCTTTTAACCCATATATTAACATTGAGTCGAAAGTTACTAGATGCGATACATCAATTTTTGTTGGTCGAAATATCGAAAATTCGATTTTTACGAAATTTTAACCTAAAAATCGCCAGATCGCGCTCGGCATTTTTAGCGCGACCTTCGGGAAAAATCATTGGCATTTTTTGAGCGTTACTTTTATTTCTTGCCTGGCACTCTAAGGGTTAACACCGAAACTATAGTCATCACAACACAAATATAGGATTGATTGACAACAGGTTAGTAACCTCATTTTATGTCAGTTAATCAATTGAGGCAAATATGTATAAAATATGAATGTAACGGATTTAACCTTGCTGTTTTTTTTTAATCACCTTTAAAGTTAGCGTGCGATCTAGGATAAACCTCCTAAAGCGTCTGATTTAATCCAAAACCTCTAAAATCATTACTCATCATATCATCATATTCATTTCTGATGAGCCAAATATGTCTTTGGGTACTTAATGCGGATAAGGGTTAAGCTGCCATTGCTTCATGAATTATTTAAGGAATCGTGTCTAATTCTACCACGTTTTTCTCATCTTATTATCACAAAAATCTAAATCGTAGCAAAAATTTTTGCGAATACTAATAAGGGCATGCAAAAAGTAGCAAAATGTATGATTAGAGGTTGGTCTGATAGGTCGGTCAAGAAAATTGAATAAGTCAATTAGAATTAATTAAGTATGAAAATTATAACTCTTGTTGCCATATTGCATAGCTAAAACTAAGAACAAGAACATAGGTAAGCTAAAAATATCAAACATCTTACGTTTTATGATAGCATAACACACTGAAGTACAAAAAAACAAATTCTACCTTTTTGTGGGCACTTGCTAGTTTTTTTGCTAATCCATTTTCTCCTGTAATATTTTTTTCAACGGCAGATTTTGCTTCTGTAAATTAAGAAACAAAAGCATGTTAGTCTAGGTTTATAATCGGTCATAAAATACAAAATCATTATTATATAATATATATAGAGTTGAAGTTGGAGGAAATGCCGCTTGAGAAATTCTGTAAATCTATATCTATCAACTAATATTTGAAACTAAGGTAACCATGCCTATGGTTTATATGAGGTACGCCACAGGCCTGAGAGATATTTTCACCCCTCCCCCTTTTCCTTGCCAGGATGTTTTCTCTTCTTTGTACCCCCAAACAAACCTAAAACCACTTGCGCTCCTAGGCCCTTTTACCAAAGTAGCCCTGAAGGTAACCGCTGTTATTACTTATTAAACTATGATATCTTTCACACAATTTTGTGCTATCTTTATCATCTTGAACGAAAAAAATATTTATATTTCTTGATATTGATTGTTAACTTTGGCACAAGAGATAGGCATTTTACTTAACCAAGCAATTGGATAAGTCTGTACAAGTTACGAGTGACAAATACTTACTAGTAACTGCAATTTCACAATGTTCAGTCACTGCTTGAACTGTTTTTGTCTTCATCTCGTCATAAGCCTGCTGTTCCTTCAATGTCACTATTGAATTGTTATCTTCTTCAATCACTTCCGACGTTTTCTAAAAAAGATTTACAACTTAGTAAAAATCAATGCAATTACTAATTTATAAATTTAAAATGCATAGCCGAGAAATTAAAAAAACGTTCGAATGTCTACCTGTAGTGATAATGCTGTTTCAAGGCTTAGAAATAGTCTAGTCTTGGTTTGACCAAAGGCCACAAATTTAAAAGAAGTTTTGAACTGAGCTCAGGAATAAAACTCGAGATACTCTAATAAAATAAACTTAATTCTCAATCAAAAAATGATATGAAGAATACAATAATTAACATAAACAAAACATTTAGTAGCCTGGAAAAATTTCAATGATTGGATAAAAATTCCAATTAAAAAAGAGGCTAAATTCAAATTTTTAAAGAGGTGAAAGATTATCTTTGGACCTAAGGCTTTAGACTTATGCTTAAACGGGACTCCACTACTACAACTCACAAACTACCCCTAGAATAAGTACAAAAAAATTATTGTTCCAAACTTTCAGCCAACTTGAACACCATTGCCAAATGTTTCCTCTATACACATGTACTCAGAACAGATAATGATTTATACTTCGTGGGAGTATGAACGAGCTTGCTTGACTGAGACATTAATTTACGGACAACCCTACAGTTTTTTACCTCGTTGATAGAGACTGTCTCTGGAGTGGACTTTGGTATCGAAAGTTTCTCATTGTCCCCATTTTCTCCGTCCACAACCTCCCCATTCTCAGATGCATTTTCCACAGACAACTCTGGTACCGAACCAGCCGACCCTTGTCTAGACACCTTGTCCTCTGAGATGTAGTTGAGGTGTGGTGTTCTCTGTAGTGGTGGTAGAGCTCTCATCGGAGGAGATGTTATGTCTACCTAATAATGTGCAGAACCATTTTAAATATAATCTGTTATCTTAGACATTTTTCAAAAAACTCTTGAGGAAATAAGGAATTTGGTAGTGATGTATCATTAACTAGATCTCAAATTCACCACAACGTTAGAAAACTGTCTCAATCGAATCAGGACGGGTGGAAACCCTGGTCCCCAAGTTCCCATGTACAAATCTTGCCAATCACCATCTGCATGATGCCACAACCCTCTAGATCTAGCCAGAAGCATTTTTAACAGTTCCTCTATAGGCTAGCGTCCTAGGATGTAAAATTAAGTAAAGGAGTCCAGGGGATGTAAATTGGATTGAGAAAACATGACTCACCTCAGGGGGTTGCAACATAGTGTTGCTGACGTGTCCGTTGCTAAGATGGTCATCAATGTCGTCAGTTCTAGGAGATGCAAGAACCATGGTATGACACCCACCACAACGCACCTGAAAACATCAAGATTGTGACTGAAATTTTAATGAAAATGTGAAAACAAGTTTACATCAACATTTTCTACAAACACGATAAAGAAATATAGGAAAATTGTTTTCTTCCGAATAGAATATAAAGTCTCTGGGAAACAGAACGATACTATAATTTTATTTCTCGAAGAGATTCATCACACTCAACATAACCAAGAATAACCACCTTGGCAAACCAATTTATTGTTCGTAATTACAAGTCATTCCTTAAACTTCAGTTTTATTAAAATATCACCTGAGAAGGTTAGGTTACGTTTTTATGTCCCAAATTTAAACATTCAACAATAGGGGCCTATTCACACTGGGCCACCATGGTGGCGACACCGGTGGTTGATTTGGTGGTCGGTCAAAATGTGCATGAACCACCAACTCAGCCACCAATGCAGCTGCAGCTGAAAATCTCACAGTTTAATCATGGACGTCGAAGAAGCAGGTGCTTTAGCATATATATTTTTGAAATTGAGAAACCTAAGGAAAAACTTAGTTTCTGGGTTCATCTTTTTTTAAGAGATAGAAGTGCCAGAGGGACCTTTTTCACTCACTACCAATACCTTAGAAATAACCCTGACAAGTTTTACACTTACCCAAGAATGTATTTTTGTATTTCCAACTAGCTGTTTGCCCGTTCTACGTACGGGAATCTTGTGGTAAGTTAAAACCTTATATTCAGAACAGGAGTTGGTTTGCATATTTAGTGTGCATTTTTCCAGATATGATGGCAAAACTATAATTGTTTGGAATACATATAGGTAAACCTTCTCAAATACAATATCTGACAGTTTCAAAGCCAAAACGAATGCTTCGCAATTAAATGTCACCCGATCGTGTTAGTCCATATTTGATATCTAATGATGAAAGGAATTGCTTTACAGTATAGATTTATGAGGCATAGCCCTAAGGTAGGCCTGTAATTGAAAGTTACTTTTCACACTGGTTAAAAGTAGTTAAAACACTACCTCAACCTCACTATTGCACACTTTATTCGGGTTGAAATTTCTATTAACAATGGTGCTCTCGTCTTTTCCACGAAAAATCTATATAATTAATACGCTACATAAAACTTTGTCGGTTGAACTCCTTCACCATTTCTCAACCAATTTTATCCATTGACGTCTCATTGGAAAGAGCGTGTCGCGTAGATTTGCAAACTGGCCTTACATTTTTGAAAAAGTACCTTGGGCTCTGCCCCAATAGCTTTGATAGTTCCCATGTTATCCTTATGGAGAACATAATTGTTTACATTTTGATCAGCTGTATAATTTAATTGATGTTATTTATTTTTCAATTCAATGAAACACATTGAGTACATTTATTTACTATTTGAGTTTGTGTAAACATAACCCCCAAGACGGATCATATTAGTATGGTTGTTATCTTAAATTTGTGTATTTATCGTTGTTTTATGTCGCTATTACGGATCGTGTTAGCATGATTGTAACTTAAATTTGTGCATTTATCGTTGTTTTATGTAGTTATAATTTGTTTATTTGTTGTTTTTTTTCTCTTTTAAATGCCTGCGACGCGACGACAACGAAAGACAGGAGGCGGTGCAGGCGTTATCGTGCAGCTACAGAACAGACAAATATAAACGAATAATAATGAATATAAACATGGTCTGAGTTACACACCGGTAAGGTAATCTTTGAATTGACTCTTTTAAATTAATTTTAAATATGACTGTTATTCGTTTTGAAATAACTCCTGTACTTCTTTGCAATTTCTCGATTTCGAGCAACATGTACACTAGTTATGACATTAATGCGTTACCAATAATAGACATACACACACAAATACAGAATTGAGTCCACACAACATTTTGGAGTCCAGGCAGAAAACGCTAAAAATTATACAGTAAGACATCAATTAAATTTAATAAGCAATAAGGTGCAGTGTTTATAAATAAATAGTGAAAATAGTGATGTGTTTGTATGTAAAAATTATTCTTACTGCTACCAACGTTTACATTTGAGAAAATAACTGTAGTACTTACAACTAATTCAAACTGTCCTTCTAATCAAACTGTATTATAGGTGTTAATCTGTTTGCAAATATATAAATAAATAAATACACAGAACACAAAACATGTAACATGTAACGTTAACAACATAAAGCTTTGAAAAATCACTATGGTTTGCTAAAAAAAAACTTTCACTTGATGTGGCGCAGTACCGAAGTTATTAATCTCCTTTGGTTTAATTTTTTTTTGTTTTCGAAAATCAAAGTTATTTCCCATTAATAGCATTATTTGTAAGCAGCTTTTAATGTTAACATATTAATGACAGTTTGAAGAAACCGCCTTTATCCAAACAAAGGTTTCTTATTTAAAAGATTACGTAATCTCTAAACAATAATCGGTACATATATCTAGCAAATATTTGGAGGAAATGTGAAGAATAACGCACAAATCTGGGGTTTTGTACGTTTGTAGTTTTATTTCCTAAGTAGGAAAAGTACCGATATCATTGTCGAAATTTAGGCCTAAGTAAGTAGAAACCAAAAGTGACACATTGGAAAAGCGAGTTTAGCTACATCTGTTAAGTTAAACCTCTGTTACGGTACGATCACAGCGAAATCAGAAAGATCTTCCAAGATCGCAGCAACATCCACGATCACCCACTGACTGCAGTTGTGATTTTTTACTTTGCACTTAACACAACTGTCCTTGAAGCGCCGTCAATGAGTGGAAACCTTTGTAAGGTATTGGTAAGGTACGGTATTGGTGACGATGATTAAAAAAATGTAAGTTTCCTTGCACTAATACAACACTGATTCATGGTATTTTCCCCGGTTATCAAAACTCAAGAACAATCGTTGCACTTGCGATTAATTAAAGCTGATAAGTAAGGCACAACGTTTTTAATCTCACTTAAAGACACTCTCACCAATCCAGTAAATACAGAAAAATTATTAGAACCTTGATCGGTACTCTAGTTTTCTAGGAGTAGGCCGCGTAAAATGACATTTTGGCGTTACAGACGCAGTCACAGAATGGACAAACAGACAGACATACAGACAGAAATTGAGATAAGACTCGTTTCGGCTTTCTTAGGCTATGAAACGTAAAAATAACCAAAAAATGCATGATTCTAAGCAATGTACAGACAAAACTGTAATTTTATTTATATAGATATGAAACGCTCCGTATCTACTTTATCCGTACCGATATTCATGATCTGCACGTTTAGCACTCCACTAGTAGACTGAGTAATGCCCGCTGCTAGTGACGGGTGGCGCTCCAATGTGAATAGTCCTATAAGAAACCATGGTGCGACGTGGTGGCACCACCAGACTGGTGTCTTTGAAAATCGCAACCCCGAGCCACCGCATTTCTGGTCGCGCGGCCGCGCCACAAACGCTCAGTGTGAAGATGTCCCATTTAAATCAATGCTAATGTAACGTAGCCACCATGGTGGCCCAGTGTGAAGGGGGCCTAGGTGTCAAAACTGCAATCAATGCACTAAACAAATCAGGCAATAACTTGAAGAAGTAATCTTTACAGAAATAAAATTTGTAAAATTTTCAACATGATACTCTTTTGTACAAGTGTCAGGAAACTGAAATTTTCAAAAATGTTTATTAAAAGTTAAAATTTCAGAACATAAATGGACAAATATTGTAAAAACAAATGTTGGACATACTGTAAAATGTGTAGATATAACACACTTCCTCACTGACCTTTGTTACTGTGAAGGGTTTGAACCGTGAGACTCTGGTCGGCTCACTCACACAGTTGGGGTCAGTCCCTGGATTCTCACAACCCAATTTGCCATGTCTCGTCTCCCCACAAGTGAACAACTCACCAAGCTCTGTCACAGGAATAACATTACAGTTTAGCTGGTGTTCAACCAAAATTCTGATTTCAATGACGTTAGGCCTACAGTAGACTCCCTCTTATCTGGACATCGGTTTAGCCAGATTACTCTCGGCAGAAGTGACACCTCTCTAAACTAAACGAATAATTTTCATCCCCACATCAGTTTATCCGGACTGGATGAACAGGAAGTGGGCGGTACTGAAACAACTTTTCTCGTGGGAAATTTGAAACCAGTGATCACGTGACTAAATACATTGCTCACCCAAATTTAAGTTAATTCTTTGGAACCAATTGCTAAGAATTAATTGATTACTAAAACTTTTATGATTTAACCAGTTTTAGGGTACTTAGATTGCACCGGAAAAACCGCTTCCTTTGGTACTGCCATTGGTCCTGTAGAGCATAGACTCCTGCAACCTTAAATGAAAAACATAATTTCATGATGAAAAAGCCTCCGAGTGACTGAAGTTAGGCTAAATGGTTTAATATGTAACCTTGCTCCTTTAAATGATCTTTGTAGTAACACTACTATACTTTGAGACTACTAGAAACCTTCAAGTGAAATCCTTCCATAAAATAACGAAAGAATCAAATTTTCACAAAAACGGCTTAAACTATATTTTCTAAACTTTATGACTTAATGGACTTAATTGGGGCTCTGCAGCAAGAACACACTTAAGTAAATTAAACACAATCCAGAACTCAGCCCTAAGAACTTGCTTAGGATGCCTTAAGACAACCTCAGTGCGAGCAATGGAAATGGAAATAAACATCGAACCTTTGGAAACATTCATCCAGAAAATGATCTGGCACAAGTTCCTTCATATATCTGCTGACCCTACATCAAATCCAGCTCTCAGACCAAACCTACAAGAGGACCATCACAAATCTTCCTTCAATCACCAAACAACTTTAATAACTGTTAATACACCAAACGTAACACCAGTGCCCTACCCAACTGTCAACTCCATCCCGCCATGGAATTTTTGCCCACCAAGGATTGAATTGGACCTCCCTGAAATGACATCCAAGAAAGACTCAATAGAAATACAAAAAGCTGCTGCCCTCGAGATCATCCAGTCAAACTACGAAGATTATTATAAGATCTACACTGATGGATCATTAGACCCTGCAGAATCCAAATCTGGAGCCGGTTACTTTGCGGAACGTTCCAACGAGTCCTTCTTTGTTCCGGCGAATTCATGTTCCAGCACTGACACAGAGCTCCTTGCCATCAACGCAGCGGTTGCCCACTGCATGGTTATTGAAAGCCAAAAGATTTGCATACTCAGCGACTCTAAAAGTGCATTGCAACTACTCAAGCAATATAAACCCTCAAGCTACTACCACAGAATTCAAGAAATCTTTCATCTCCTGAATTTGTCCACAGACAAGGAGATTTGTTTCCAATGGATACCAGGTCATTGCGGACTGCAAGGAAATGAGAAAGCTGATAGGATTGCGAAGGCAGCCACCAACATGCACCCTATACCATCTAAGGAACTAACACTTACCAGCTGCATAGCCGCATCTCAAAGACTCTTAACGCAAAAATGGGTAGAGAAGTGGAAAGATGAACCAACTGGTCGCCATCTGTATGACCTGCTCAAGGAACCCAACAATACAGACATTTACAAAAACTTGCCAAGATCTGTGTCAACATTTGCCTCAAGAGCTAGAACGGGGCATATTGTAACCCAATCATATCTCTTTCGCTTCCAACTCGCTGAGTCACCCCTGTGTCTGGTATGTCAAACGGAAGAAGAAACGTTGCAACACATCCTCCTTCATTGCACTCGCAAGTTGGATATCAGAGATGAGCTGAGGAAGAGACTCCAACCTGACTGTACTCTTGGACGAATCCTAACTGATCCCACCTACTGGAGACTGGCCAACCTTGTATATGAGAGACACCGTGCGGTCGGCATTACCTGAAGCTGGATGCACGTACCAAGAAGTAAGAAGTAAGTAAGTAAGTATGACTTAATGGTTCTTTTAACTCAAAAAAATGGTACAACCTCCAATGTTGTTAAAATTGTGGTTCAAAAACACATAAAGGAATTCCATCCATAAAAGATAAAATATCATAGTTACTCCCACCGCTCAACCTATAAGGGTTTATGACAAGCTGGAGGGAGGAAATATGTGACAGTTTGCTGACACTGTTTATTCACTAATCGTTATCAAATATGTCTGCAATCATGATTAGATATTTTAAACATTTATTTTCCCTTGACCTCTAAACTCACTGTAACTTATAGTACCAGTAGGTTACCAGTGACAAAAGCAGTGTGGCTCTCCCCGCAGGCTACTTCCTTGATCACTTTGTCAGCCAGAGAGTCTATGAGTGTCGGAACGTACACTTCACTCTGATTGGTCGACAGCCCCAGTTGACCACTTAGGTTGCTACCCCATCCGTACACTTTGCCATCAACTGGATGATACGACAGTCAAATTAGAGAAAAACTTAAACGAAAATTTATATCAAACTTGGGGGCAAATTTGGGTGGTGGTTTCTAATTAGCAGTAGGCTTTATGGGAAAAAAACTAGTTAAATTATTATTCTTTTATTGGGAAAAACACCAAAAAGGGGCAGCTTTTATACAAAAGTATATTCAATACCAGATTGACATATCATAGCTAATATATTCCTCAATGGAATAGAAGGCATTGTATTTGAGACATTCTGACACAAGAGTTTTGAAAATCTTTAAAGGTTACGTTCTTATTCATACCACATCAAGAAAGTAGAGCAGTTAATAAATTTTTCTTTTATAAAACTTAAGACGTACTACTATGTTTGGAGATTTTGAAAATGTTTATAACCAAATATTATGGACGAACAATACCTTCTTTTTAAACAAACTCAGCAACTGTATGTTTTTATTTGGCTTAAAGGACATAAATGGCCATATTTTTTGTTATAAAAAACCAATGTTTGAGTTTAGATGAGAAGTTTATTCTCAAGTGCTATAGAAGATAAGAAAAAAGAGCAGTTACCTGCAACCACAAATGTATGGTTTCCCCCAGCGGTGATGGATATAGGCCAAGCATCGAGAGAAACCACCGTAGGTACACGGACACTCTCTGTAACTCCTAAGCCTAACTTGCCTCCCTCACCTTCACCGCACACGTACACTTGACCTTCCTCTGAAAAAAATCCCATCTGTTTATGTCCCTTCATATTCTACACCAGAGTCCGCTTGAACAGTTTTACTCATTAGGCTAGGTCTAGAGGGCCACAGCATAATTAGACAAAATCCATTGGCGATTGGTGAGATTTGAACCCAGATCCTCAGGGATTGAAGGCTTGCGGTCTGCTAGACCAGCTCGCTCCCCTTGGTAAAACCAGTGTTGTTTAGATACCCCACTGAGCAAACTACTATATCTAAACTCATACTATAATCTAAAGGTACTAGGAATGAAATTCACTCCAACCAACAAGATCTTTATCAAGTACACCTGCTTTCTGATTCCAGTTAATCTTATAGGACCTTCTCCAGCCCCAGTTACTCGTTTTTTCAAAAGAGTCACTTTTTCAGGTTGTGTATATTCTCTTACCTACCATTCTCCAATCATGATTTTATTCAGTAAATATATCAGGGACTTTGCCTTTGTAATACTTCAATTAACAGCCTTTAGGAAAAAAAAATTACCTGTCAACAGAACCGTGTGGTAATATCCGCAGGATATTTTGGCGACACTGTCCTTGAGATGAAGCCTCGTCGGTGTCAGGACGGACTTTACGTCTTCTCCTAGTCCAAGTTGACCGTCAGAGTTACTTCCCCAGACAAACACTTCACCTTTGCCTGTCGGGAGAAGACAAAAGTTAATACGCAAGTGATACTAAGCGACCTTTGACACATTTTTTTTTAATAGGATACATTTTGGTTTGAAAAACCCCCATCACTTATGAATATGTTTAGTGTTGAAATTAGTTTACTTCAATAACCAGCAGGACAAAATATTTGGGAAATGTCATGTCAACATTTTTACTGAAAACAGTGAAAACTAATCGGTGAAGGTTTTGTTAACTTGCACCTCCATTTTCTACCTTATTTTTTGTTACTGAAATAGTTAATGGAACATAAGATGCTATAGCTTAGAATAGTCCATCCTATCAATTTGATTTGGTTAAAACGGGGATAATGGTGCATAAGAATAGTAATCAGAAATTTACATCAGCGCAATCTGTTGATAGCTCAGTTCTACTACGTCCAATTTTATTTAAAAACTGGCGACAAATTTGTGTAGAACTTAAAATAGACAAAGGTTACCTGTTCCCATTAACAGTAAGTTAAGGATTGGTTATTTTACTTGTATCCAATAACTTATATCGGCCTTTGAATCCTAAAATTTAATAGACAACAAAATGTACCTTCAACAATCCCTTAACACCTGAAAATACTACAGAAGACCCCTATTAACCGACCCTAATGGGACCAGACCTAGATCGGATAACTCAAAAGGTTGGTTAAAACGTGCATTCCCTAAAAACAAAAACATAACAAAATGAAGTGCTATTCATTTGGAATTATACAATCATTATTTTGAAGTCGTACTTTCATAATATATAAAATAAACTATGCTAATCTCCTTTTTTCGTATTGATAGAAAAATCACAAATAAACACAAAACACGGTCAAATAGTTTCAGTGGAATAAATTATAGTTGTAGGCAAGAGTCAATAAAAATTCTTGTTTCGATAACTTTATTACTGTAATATTAATTGATGCTTCCCAAATCTATCGTAGTACAGTAGGCCTACAGAACTTTTTGTTGAAATTAAAGATACTAGCAACCATTTTGTTACGAGACATAGCTTTTTACTGGAAGCTCGAGTCCCAAAAACTATCTTGACCTTGGAATCAATAACCCTCCTCCCCTGCCCACCCTAAAAGTTGCGTTGTTAGTTTACTGTAGCATAAGATAATTCTAGATTATATTACAAAATTGCAGCTGTTTTCAGAGACATATTTTTTTGTATGAATAGGCATAAATAACTTATTCTTAGTCACATCCTGTGGAGATAAGCGTATGGTTCCCATCGCCGAGTGCGAGAGCGGAAATGCCAAGATTCCTAGAAAGCGGCGGTTAAACTGAACTGTTCTCAAAACAAGGTCGGTTAAAACAAACTGTAATATTTTACGATGGAGAACGGACAATCCGATTATCGGTTTATGCAAGGTCGGTTAAGAGGGGGTCTACTGTACTTCATAAATTTACATAAAAATTTTTAAATACTTCATAAAAAATCAAATCTTTTTGATGAAATTGAATAAAATTACCTATATTATGGCCAAATAAATTGGAAAGTCATATATTTGGTTTATTGTAAACCCGTAACTCAATATTGATGAGTACCAGTAACCACAAGTCATCAACCCAAGGTAAAGAAGAATCCGTCAGCAAACTTATAAAGTTTTCATATGACATAGTGACCCTAATGTTAGAGGAAAGTTGACCGTTTTAAACAAATATTGGTCTATACTCTTTAATATTGCATTGCATGACTAGACTAAGATAGTCCAGACATTCATATTCTTTTATTTATTAGTTAAGATAAATGGATAATTAACTAAGTTGGTTTTCCATCAAATGTATATTAAGTTAATGTATGTATGAGGTCTGGTAACACAATTCAAAACATTTAGGAAGAAAAGCCAATATGGTACAACAGTTTCAGAATTTTAAATAATCATATTATTCCCTTTTTGATTGATTAACCCATTCACTTATGATTTTTTTTTTACCCGCCTAGGCCAAAACAAACGAATTTGTTGTGGCTAGTTTCATTCATTTCTGATTTAATTTTTTTTCAGGCAACATTTACTATTTATATGCAAGATATTATTATTTTCTTATTCAAAATTAAATGTAGATTCAAAATATATAAATATTTCCCAAAAAAATATAACTATAATTTTTTATTATACCATATAAAAATAAAATAAAAAAATAAAAAAATTAAAAAAAACTTTTTTATTGGTAATTTTTAGCTACATAGGGCTCATATATGTTTTGGAACTAGTCTATAATACTGTATGACACTTATAAAAACTCACCAAATGTCAAGCAAAGTTCATTTTGGTGTGGTATGCCTTGAAACACTCTGGCATGTGAAGTGCGACAAGGCAGAGCTCACACTCCCATCGGCTGTCACTGCGCTTTCCCTGGGCACTACACACCTTACATCTTCTTGAAGGTGTTTGTTTGACTTCATTTGGAGGAATAGGCCTAGGAAAATGTCCCCAAGTTGCTGCCTGGAGCCTCAGAGGTGTTTCTGAGTTGGATGATCGTCCTCTTCGATTGTACGGTGGCAGTTGTCGCGACTCAAACATTTGCTTGACAAACCTCTCCTTGAACTCACTGAACCCCAATTTTTTTCTGGTTAATTTTTTGAACACTACATAAGAGTTAAAAAGGCCAATGTCCATTATGTAAAAGAAGATCTTCTTGTATCCCTTAGCATACCTCCTCATACTAGGAAACGACGCTAATTGCTGATCCTCGCGGTCAATTCCACCCATTGAACGATTATAGTAGATCACTGGTTCTGGCTTTGTTATAATTTCTTGGGTAACTCTGTCTTTCTTGCCAGTTGATCTTTTGTCAGCTTTTTGATGAAAGGTAGACAAAATGCAAACTTGCTTCTTGTCCTGCCACCTTACTGCTAACATATCGTGGCTATAGGCTGTCTCGTAGTCGCCCAACTTAAGTTTACCCTCTTTGAAGCTCTCTGGCATGTTTGATCTCCACCAGTTAGCTGTTCCAATTACATTGAAACCTATTTGCTTAAGTCTATAGAAGAGAAGAGGTGAGGAGTACCAATTATCAATTGTCAGAGTATGTCCTTTTCCTGCCAAATCTTTTGTCATTTCAACGACTATCGCCTCACTCGTTAACAGCTTTTCCTCCTGTGTAGAATCCCCACTTCCTTCTTCAACCGGTACATTTTCTTTGACTTCAGCTCCAGTATAGATCTTAAATTTAGAACAATAACCACTTCCAGATTCACAACACTTGTAAAACTTTATGCCAAATCTGGCTCTCTTCTTGGGATTAAATTGGACATAGCCCAACCTCCCTCGGAACTTCATAAGACTCTCATCGACAGCTATGTTTTCATCAGGTATGTACAGATGGGAAAACTTCCTGTTCATGTACTCAATAACGTACCTTAACTTCCACAGTTTATCATTCACAGGTTTCCTATTATTGTCTGTAAGGTGGAAAAATGTGGACAGTAGCAAAAAACGGCGGAATGGCATCACTTTACGAAAAAAAGGGGTCTCAGTTACAGCATTAGGCGACCAGTATGATTGTATGGTTCTTTTTTTTACAAGCGACATAAGGACACACAGTGTATAAAAACAAGCCATCTCATCTGCAGTTGTGTCAAACCATTCTGAGTATATAGTTTTTCCTACCCCGCCTGCTTCGTTCTTTTTCTTAATTGTTTCTTTGGCATAATTATTAGTCTCTGTTGCAACATGTTGCCAAAAGTCATTATCAAGAAACGCATTGAAAACATCTAATTCAGAGGGAGCTGAGCCTAAACTTCTAGCCAAACTTGCTCTAACACCAGGACAACCAGTAAAAGGGATTTTATTTATTATATTACTTTCTATGGTACTGGTCCACTGCCAACCCTCCTTTTTCTTCTTTTTTGGTGGAGCTGTATCGTTACTAGTTTGAGTTTTGGACCTTTTAGTAGGCTTAGATGGTTGTGAAATAGCTTTTTTTCCTATAGGCCTACCTCTTCCTCTAGACCTGCCCCTAACAGGTTTACTTTTAGGCCTAGGGTCAGGAAAGCTAGGGTCGTCAGCTTCCTCACTCGGTGTAGGTGAGAGGGCAGGCACGATTGAAGATGCAAGCTGGTCAAATAATTCAGGCCTAATAGGCAAATCTAAATCAGATTGGACATTTGGAGGGGTCATAGGCCTATGCCTGCCACTATCTATATCATTTATAGGCCTAGAGTCAGGGAAACCAGGGTCGTCAGCTTCCTCACTCGGTGTAGGCGAGAGAGAAGGCGCGCTCATACTACCGCGGTATAACCGATCAAGAAACTGGACTGATTTAGGCAATTCTTCATCACGTGATGGAGAAGATACATGCTGATCAAATATTTCAGGCCTACTAGACAAATCTGAATTATATTGGACAGTAAGGGCATCTGGAGGGGTCATAGGCCTAGCATAGCTGCAAGAAGGCTGTTCAAGCAACAACTGGTCACTTTCTAATGGCCTAGGCCTAACACAATTAGTATTATGTTCTGGGGAAACTGTGGTCTCATAATCAATAGGCGTATTAGACTTATTACTCACTTGAATTCTGCTCCCTTCCAAATCATCATCATCACTCCAACCACTCTCCTCAAACAAGTCACAATCACTGTCACTGTCACAATCCCCTATAAGTTTTATGATGTCACTTTCATCTAACTCTTTTCCACATTCATCCACGAATACCAAGTTATTTTGAAGACTCATCGTATTATACAAAAGCTTTTCAATTGAATAATATAGTAAAACAAGATACTGTAGCTCAATCTTTATCACGACGAAGTGAAACACGACATTATAGGCCTAATAACTCAGTCATTATAACGACGAAAAAGTAAAATACTGATAAAAACTTACACTAAGTAAATTCTATAACTTATTTTATAAGATAACTACACTTTTCAATAAAATAATAAAGTAAAACAAGGCTCTAACACAATGTTTACATCGTCGAAGTAAACACAACAACGTATCAGCTGTGAAACCAGAGTAGACGTCGTCAGCTGCTAAGTTGCACCATTTCAACTTCAGTTTTTTTGCCGATTGGACTGGACTGAGATGACGAAAATATAACCAAAAGAAAGCCTGGAAATCATAGAACAAGAAGCATATGCGATCTATTGGATTTCTGGGGAACTAACTCGGCACAAACAGGTTTTAATAGCGGACGGCGATTCGCCGTCGCTTCACACAATGGCTAACGGGAGCGCGACGGCGGATCGCCGTCGTTGTAAGCGAAGGGGTTAATATGTGAAAGTGACATGTTGAAATGATTATTTCTTCTTCTTTTGTGGCCAAATATGCTTGAGAAAGAAGGAACACTATAACAATGAGTCCAGTTATCGAGAGATGCTTAACAATTTTAAGTAACTCTGAAGAGCAAAGACCACTAACATTTAACTTCTTCAGTAGGAACATCGTATTAGTCTCACAGTAAAATGTGTAAAACTTGTTTGTACAACTGTTTACTCTTTTAACCCATGTTTGATTTCCTAATCATCTTAATGGGGCTTATATCACTTATCCAAGAGATGTAGAAGGTAGTTTTTCCATATGCAATATTTGTTACCCCATAAACGGGACTTTTGACTATATGCGGGATCAAAACGGGATTTTGGGATATTTGCAGCAAAAAAACTAAGTTTTGATAATAGCTCAATCTCTGAGCGGCTTACTCAATGACGTACTATTTTTGACCCAAGCATGTTCTACAACTGGTCCATGCACATTGATCTACACTATCTAAAATTCAATTGTGCCAGTAAATTCCAATAAAATTCTTCTATCATTAAGACTGGTTAAGTCAGTGGCTCAGTTGGTGGTGCAACTGATTGTAAAACCAAGGCACGATGTCATAGCTTTGCGATTCGGTTTACTCCTCAAAATTTGTAATTTTTGTACTAAACTGTCACCCATTGATTTGCTTAGTACAACCGACATACAGGCTTCTCAAGCCCACGAGGACTAGCAAACCAGGCTGCTAACCTCGCAAAAATTCAACTACAGCACATAATATTTATGACTAATTTTCATACTAACATGTCAAAAAGATGTTTGGCGACTATATAACTATTTTAGTAAGAATTTAAATTTCAACTGAAGTTTTGATAACTCACTGTTTAGCACAGCAGAATGCAGGCAACCAGCTGAAAGTTGTTCTATTGTGCCTTCAACTCCGTCTACCAGAGTGGGAACATCTCTGTCTGTTGTATCTCCCACTCCCAGCTGTCCGTCACTGTTACTGCCGCAGACAAACAACTTGCCTGACGCTGCCAACATAACAATCCAAAATAAAATACACAAACTTCATAAAAAATTGTTTAGGGACATCGTGTTCCCCTGAGTGGGAAAGAGTTCATGCACAGAAGACACAGAAATGTTACTGTATACAAAAAATAGGATATTTCACAGTCATTGACAAAAAATGTTCAATCAATCGAGGGTTTGAGTTAGGAAGGAAGATGTCTTTGATCCAAACACAAAGAACTAAGGAGGAAATGTGCTTATGGGACAATCGTACGTTTTCAGCTCTAGTATGTTGAGCACTTGTGACGAGCAAGGAAGAGCCTGTTCTCAAAAACTTAGTGTGATATGAAATAGTCTAAAATAGTAGCAATATTAGACTAACAGAACCCACAGATCTCCACACTGTTAAGAAGTCAATCTCTATTTGAAACCAAGAACGGTCTGCCAGTGTAAAAAATAAATCCTTCAGCTTCCCCGACTTGTATAGAAAATACTCATACAAATAAAAAGTTAATTATCAAAAACATTTAATAAACATACAATGTAAATAAATTACACAACTAATTACTAGATTCCGTGAGCACTTGCATGATATTTACTATGCATTATGTTGGATTTTCAATAATATTCAAGACATTAGAATCAATAGTCATACAAATTAAATTTTACCTGTGCTAATAAGTGTATGGGCTCTCCCGCAAGCCACGTGAGTCGCCTGCTCAGGTTTCAAACCTGCAACATCATACAAGTTTATACATTTTTTAAGTGATCAGCACATTTAGTGTTTAATTTTCTTCCCCAACACAATACACATAGTCCAGTAATATTTGCAAACATTTTTCAAATTTAACGGGGTAATATTCATTTTGGGTCCCCCAGAACCCTAAAGAAAATGGTTTTCATGGTTTCTGTGTGTGTGATTGAATCAATGTGTACAGAGCTACAAACTATACCTATGATCCAATTTCCAATTTGGTATGTGCGGATACTAATCTATGGTCCACGTGTTTTTAATTTTGATTTTTTATGGGATTTGTCTTCAAGTCCTTAAAATAACGGAAAAATCAAATTTTCACAAAAATGGCTCTATTAATACTATAACTAGATATGTATATTTGCCTGAGGCAGTGGTGCAGTCGTAAATTTTCCAGTGCAGAAAAACCCACCATTGTTGAGGAAAAATACAGGTTGCTTACCAATATACACAAGTTCATTGGGAAAAGTTCCCACACGTTCCCACCCCAATACACCACTGGCTGAGACATAATAAAACTTACTCTTAATACAGCTGGGTTTTGCGACGACAGACTTGTGTCCGAGACCAAGTTGTCCCCACTCATTACTCCCAAACACAAACACTCTGCCGTTCTCTGCAACCAATCAGACACCAACCGCTTATGAATAATACATAACAACAGACACAACATGCAACCGCTGAATTGTGCTGAGTACTGCAATAAATTTTGCGGTAACACTGTTAAGTCAACAATTTGATTTGTGACTATTTTTCATGCAGCCACTATAATTAACGAAAACAACCCAGACAGGATTTTATGGTTAAAACAACAAAAAATAATGTAACTAGATGTTAATTCAAGAAATAGTGACCCACTTAATAATAAAACCAAAAGTTATACAACCATTAACACTTTTACAAATATTTATGTTATAGACAAAAATATAAAAAAACTTTACATTTTACCATTGACTTTAAACAGGGTGACACCCTAGTCAATGATTTTACATAGATTTTTTAAAAACATATTGATTTCAACTCACCAAAAATCAATGTTTAACAAAAATCATAAATGTTCTCTATAGTCAGGCTTTGTTTATGGTAAATATGGGTTTTAATTACTCTATCAGGTTTTCCACTTTTTGCAAAAATAAACAGATAAAATACTAAAAAATGCAGGAAACAAAATAAAGGTCCATTCCATTTACATGTGCAACTTCTTTTACAGATCCAACCAATATTCAAATTCAATTTCAAAATATTATTTTGATATTTACAATACATTTTTTTAGAAATGAGCAAGTTTGGCAACTAGTATATCTGTGATTATTGTTGCAATTAAAAACAGTATTTTTCTGTTTTAAATTAATACCATACAGCAATGCCAATGCCTAATGAACAAAAATACCGCTGGAAAATATGTCAACTGTATTTTGAACACAGTTTACAGCTAATTTACTTAACATTTTAAAAATTAATACATGTACTAGTAAAAAAACAATATAGAAGGTGTTAATGCAATTTGTTTATCTCAATCTGACTCAATGTTTAGTTTCCATAAATGTATTCATAGAGAATGTATTTCTTGGGGAAGCACAATTATGCAATACAGTTATCAGCCCGATCTAAATCAATAGCCAGAGCTAGACATGCAATGCTGACACTTTACTGCATACAATAATTTCCCTCATTTCAAAAACTATTTCTGTAAAATAAGTTGGCAGTGATCTTTTATTCCTGTAATTTCATACAACCAAACTCCGTTCACAAATATTTAGTGGCTTTAGGTGGAAAAACTATTTCTGTAAAATAAGTTGGCAGTGATCTTTTATTCCTGTAATTTCATACAACCAAACTCCGTTCACAAATATTTAGGTGGCTTTAGGTGGAAAAACTATTTCTGTAAAATAAGTTGGCAGTGATCTTTTATTCCTGTAATTTCATACAACCAAACTCCGTTCACAAATATTTCTAGGTGGTTTTAGGTCTACCCTCTCCATGTCTTGTTCCTGCCATCAAAACAGTTCAATAGCTGGAGATTTGTCAAAAAATCAATAAGCTGCAACATAAAGCAGAAAAAATTTGTGGGAGAACTTTCCCTCAAACCGCCTAAATACTGTGAGCGAAGTATAGTATATAGCTTTGCAATAACCATCCACAGACTTCCTTCATTTGAAAATCTACCTCAATATTGGGGAAAAACGGAAAGGAAGTTTTTGATAGGGAAGTCTGTACTTCTCCAATTGATAAAAATGATTGTATAGATGATTTTAATGATGTGTCTGAGTTATGTAGTTTTATAAATAATGAGTATTGTAATTATAGTTTTAGAAGTTTATTGTAAACCTTGAATAGGCATGTTTATTCTGACAGCTATTCTGGCTTCATTTTAATATTTGTGAAAAAAATATTCACCATTAATTTACTAGTATAACACATGGTAACCAAGAAATTGTGGCCTGGTCGCTGGTCAGCAAGAGTTGTAGAGTCTATTGATTGACGAAGGAAGGCGTGGACAGCAAATATTGACAACAACCATCAAAGATTAATGTTTTCATAACCCACAAACACTAAGCTACATGGTCTTTCCATCTACCTACTTCGTCTTGTTCGTTATTTTTCTGATACACGATCTCACTATTATATTTATAGTCTCGTTTGAAAAATAGTTTTGGTTAAAAGTCTACTTACAAAATTTGAAGTACCTTTCCTTTGAAACATCCCTCTTATAAAATAACAAATTTTTACAATGTAAATAATATATAAACACTTTAAACACCCATAATTTGTCCTAATCTAATATATGATATTTATAATATTAAGTGTATTCAATAACATGGTAAATTTTGAAGCCAGAGGAAGGACCTCTAGGAGAGATGCAAAATTAAAATAAGCCTATGTCAATCTGCAATGTATTGGCTATATTTCTGCAAAATTTCATCCCAAGCAGTCCAGTAGTTTTCTGTCTATCCAAATTTTCACATTTAATATTAGTAAAATAATTAACTCTTTTTGCATTACTTACGACATACAACTGCTGTATGCTCATCCCCACAGTCTACGTCAACAATCGGGTCGTTCTTGATGAAAAAATGACTTGGTATATTGTCGGCGAATCGACTTCTGCCGAAAGTGAACACAGCTCCACTTGCTGAAAATATTACATAGTCTTGGTAACTGACATAGAGATAAGAGATACTGCGACAATAAAAATATTTAAAAAACTGGCAACTTAAAGTCCTTGGAATTGATTGTGAAGTGTAATTTTAAATCACAACAATGACTACTGACTGTTACAATGTTAAAAGGCTGATCTTATTTTTTATTTCAATGTGAGAAACACATTCCGGAATCTTTAGTTTGTAAACGTTCTCACAAATGCAATAACTTAGTTAAACCAAAACTAGTTATAAAACTGACAGGTTTAATGACACAAAACAGTTATTACAGTTATATCATCAGTTATTACCTCACAGCATCAAACCTGCAGACTAAGCGAATTTCCATTTACCTGGCTGGACTTCCACTAAAAAATTCCCTTTAAATTGTGAGAATTATTTAATATTTAATCATTAATTTTCATGAGTAGGTACCTACTTAGGTTAAATAGGTTAGCTGCTACAGAGAAGGTAGGCCTAAAGAGGTGTTTTTTTTTTATTAGAATGATGATATCTTTTGGTGTAAAACAAACAAAATTGTCAAATTTGATTAAATAATATATCTATAAACAATCAAACTACAACAGTTTATTTATTATGCATATGAATAACAAAGGAAATTTTAATGTTTACATTACCTCCATAATTGTTAGGCATACATCAACGGTTCAATATTGGACAACATTATTTCTGTTAAAGCTCTACAAAATTGTGAAAAACCAATTTTTACTCTATAAAACCCGATTCCCATAGTCCGAGCGTGCTGATTTGTGAACTCGTTCTAATAAACGTAGGCTTACACGTTTGTACAAAATTTCATCGAAATCGGATGATTTTTGCTCTGGTTATCCCGCTACCGGACACACACATATATATGCGATTTTTTGGACTCTGGAAACCTCGAAACAAAATGAAAATCGGTCCCGGGTCCAGGGCTTACTACGAGACCTAACTTACCTAGGGTAATAGGGGTATAGCTTATTGCCTATATGGGCAATTCACTTTAAAATAGTTGAAATCCCCACTGAAATAACTTATTGAGAACAAAGAAAAAAATACATGGAATGAATTAAATTAGGCCTACTTACCCTAATAATTATACAGAATCAACACTAATTCGGCCTACTTATTTAACTTCAATATCAATAAGCCTCCTTCTCTATAGCTCCAGACTGGGATGGTGGCTTTGTCCAGCTACTAGGAGGTCACAAACTGTGGATGCAATACTCCCTGGTGTGGATTAACATCCGCACTAGTGAGTACTACAACTATCCGCAGTACCTACTATCCTGGTAATTACTTAGACCAATTCTAGATTAAGGTAACTCTATTTAAGGATTTAGACCAATTTGTTAATTACAAGGCAAAAATGTGGTTCGGTTTCTACTAAGTTACGATATTTAATCTTAAACAATAACTTGTCCCCTAGTTAACCGAATAGTAAAGCACAAATCAAGAAATAAACCCTAAAATATCAACCAACCCTAAAAATTTGTTAACACTAGCGCCCAGTGTCACTGTACCTACATGAACTAGACACAAAAAACGAGCTGGCCTTAGTCACTAACAAGACTACAAGATCGCGCCACTCGTCCTACACTCATCTCCATTCATACTTACCTAGCATAAAATACCTACATTCGTATGGTCGCCATTTCAAAGTTACAAAGTATTAACTTAACTTATGTCTGGCCATATCAATAATTTTAATTCCATAGGACGTACGAGGCAGGTCCCGCCTCCACGTATTACACCATGTAGTATAGTTTGAAATAGTACTTACTGTAATCGTATTTAGGCTAACTATAGATCTAGTTAATTTGTTATCGAAATTATAAGTTACGGTCCATTTAACTTATCAGGGCCTAAACAGTTTTCATTGTGAATTCATCAATTGTGTTCATGTTACCTAGTTATTTTTGTAACCTTTCATAACATTTTTGGTGCATCACACCCACACGCAACAGTAAAGTTAAATATATTAACCTCTCAGTGCTTAAAACTTAAAGACAATCCTGCTCCTCATATTTGAATCGATGCTAAACAAACGTTGACCAGGCCAAAAATGTTAATCTAAACTTAATCCAACAAACATTTACTTACTCGGCAAAACTTTGATATCCAACTCTATCACATTGTGAATTACCATCAATAAGTTAAACTTATTATAGAATGTTTTCATTCAATTGGTTTAATCTGGGAAGTTTGGTGTTAGCCTATCGATTGAATGGATAGGCCTACCGTCAAATGGGGCTACTTTGATACGAAAAACACATATTTTGTTAAACATTTGTTATACTAAAGAACTTTTTGAGATGAATTATTTTTTTTAACCATGGCACAGGTTTGTACTATCAAAATATCTTACACAAAAAAAATTTGCAATTTGATTTACCTTGAAAAAAAATTCAAATATGGCCGTTCAAAGTAGCCCCATAGATGGGGCTACTTTGATACACCATACTAAAAGCATAGAGGCAGCTATGTTATTAGGCTGGGGGCTATAACTGATACATAACTTAAAAGAGGGGGTTATTCTGAACAATTTAATATATAATACAAAATAGTTTGGAACAAAACAAAATTTTTTTTTTTCAAGAAAATACAGCAACGTACCTGAAATGTCCTGAAGGTTTCAACTAAATAACATGAGGGTTTCTTGTCACTTTAATCTTGATAAGTAATCAGCAAAATAATGTTAAAAGACTTTATTTATAAGAAAAAAATATATAACTAACACATTGTTCATAGTTTTTTTTTAACGCATCACTAAATTTCACTATTTACAGGATATTTACAAGAAACACAGGTTTGCCTTATTGTAAGTTCAACCCAGCAAATGAAATTCTGCTGAATTTCATGATACCCCTGTTGTTGGTAGTGGGTTCTGGCAAAACCTGGAGAACATCTTGTTCAGGAATGTTGTCATAATCCTCCTGCTCTGGCCATATAAAACCGCCAAGAGCTTGCCGTGTGAATTTTACTCTGAATCCATCTTCGGTAATGTTTGTGACTTGTCCCACGAAGTGTTTCTTGCTTTTTTTCATTGCATATTCAACAATAACCCAACTTGATACCTTCACAGATTTTGCCCAAGGGACGACTACTGTGAAAAACCAATCCCTAAATGTCACTTCGTCAAACCACCCACTTTTTGTACGATTATATCTTGCTCCGGGGGGACCTCCCTCGGTCCACGTGTTCCAAATTGCCTCCGATTTATATACAACATAAGGTGGTAGTGTTACGCCTGAGTCTGTAACAGCAAACATTACAGAAAAAGCCGACTTTGTGTAGTTAATGACTCTTTCAGGCCTTTTAACCTTAGTCTTAAAAATCATTTTCCTGTTTTTGGGATCATTTACCAAATTAGTTTCATCATAGTTTAGGATATTCCCATTTGGAACTCCAGCTAAAGTTTCTGTCAGATTAGCGAAATATTCCTCAATATCTTCCCGTGAAGTTTTGGCCCTCTTCGCTTTGATGTTCTGACACATCCTTTGGGTTAAGATATGTTTGTGTCTTTTTAAAAAAGACAGTGCCCAGTCTCTTCCTGGTAGATTGTCCTTGAATACCCGTATTGTGAGACCACGGGCATCTAGATAAGATTTAGTAAGGCATCTCAATTGAAATATGTCAAGCGGGTATCCCCATTCACTTAATACAATGAGATTGTCGACTATTAACGCTTCATCTTCACTACTTAAAATTACTGGGTGGCCAGATTTCTTTCTCTTCACAATAAACTCAATCTGTTCCCCTTCCTGTTCGGAATTTTCATCTTGAGATTCAACTTGGGATTCTGCCTGACGATCCCTTACAGCTTGCTTAAATGCTCTAACATATTTTACAAGTGTACCTGTACTCACTTTATACTGCTTGACTGCATCCCTAAACTTAACCTCACCACTTGCAACCTTTTTGACTGCTTCTTGCAACTGTTCATCACTGTAATTTCTGTAAGATCTTGCACCCACTTTCTTTTTATATGTTCTAACCATTATTGTTACTTGTTTACAAAACTGTCCTAATTTAATAACAACTTAACTGAGACAAACAAACTTAACCTGAATCAGATATAAAAACACAATGTGAATGTTGCACATGGTATTTGTAGGTTATGTTTGAATGAAAAACAAACAGAAGAACACATGATTTAGCTACAAAAAAGGACAGTAGAGACAGACTGTAATGAGGTTCAATGTAGCCCCCAAAAATAATAGCGTTCAAAGTAGCCCCATTTTACATAAAAAAGGCAGAGGTAATTTTTAAAAAATTTACTATTTTTTATTTTATAAATAGCTTCTTGAAATTTAAGGACTAGGTTAAAAATCAATAAAATATTCCTAAAAAAAATGCTGTGTTAAAAAATATTCATTTTGTGACCGGAGACAGACACAATTTTAAACACATAAAAAAACGCAAAAAATAGGGTTCGTTTTATATATATATAAAAATTTGAAAAAATTAATTCCTTTTTTAAAAATTGTATTTAATACATTACTAAAAGGTACAAACTACAATAGGGAATTTTTTCAATTTTTTTTTCAGTTCTAACATAGTAAAAATCATGATTTTATAATTTTAGTGTTTTTTGTTCAAAGTAGCCCCCATGTTCAAAGTAGCCCCATTTGACGGTACTGTAATTGTAGCTCGATAATCAAGTAGAGGCAGATATCAAAGTTTCGCCACTTACCTACACTATATTTTATTAATAATTAAATATATACCGGTACCTAACATACCAATAATTGAATACAAATTATACACGAAAAATAAAAAGGAAGGCAATTAATACTAACCTGGGATTTCTTTTTCCTCTTCAGTCATTTTTAGTGGTTCGAAAGCTAGTTTTTAAAAAGAAGAAAAGAGTTTTTATAAAGTAGTGTAGGCATTCTTCTGACTTCAAAATAGCATCGAGTTGAGTAAAGATATGACTAAACTCAGTCAGCAGGATCCTAACTAAAATATCTATAGCAGAGTTTGCAGGCTACAAATAAACCACAATCACAAATAATGTGGTACCTATTATGTATCTCACGATTTCACTATAACAATAACACGGAGAGTCACTTATCGAAAATAAACTTGAATTTGAATAAAAAACAACACCAACACCAACTGACTGAACTTAGAACGAACTGACTGCTCAAACTCGGGTTATGATGGGAGGAAGGGGTGTAATGTATGTAAACAAACAAACAAATCCATTAGCAACGGGGAAGCAGGGTATCCAACGGAACCAAACTGGTCTTTTTATTCGCACAAGTTAAAGATATTACTGTATTTGCAGCATAACATTAACTTGAGGTATCACATGCCGATAGTAATTAATTTGTGTTATAAAACTACTTCCCCTATAGATTCATTAAAAAAGAACACGATTTTGAGCCCATGTACTTTTTTAATACTTTTAATTGAAATGGCGACCATAGGTATTTGAAGCAAAGTATGAATGGAGATGAGTGTAGGATGAGTGGCGTGATCTTGTAATCAACAAATCAAGTTTTTTATTGGCGTTGAATAATCACTGATTACATTTACTTTACAGTATTGGAGATAAGTGAATGCAGATACACTATTCAATCACGGCCACCTTTAGCTCCGGAGTTAAAGGTGGCCGTGATTCAATACAGTACTGCACGTTTAACACGGGTTTTATATGGACAATTAGAGTTTTTGGTTAATTAATAGAAAACTACCAAAGATAGACGGTGGGTTTAAATTTAAAAGTTTTTAGTTTTTGCAAGACCTTCAAAATGATACGCCATTTGACATATGTTGCCATTTAAAAGCCCCCAAAAAGAAATATTTGGATAAGTGTGTCTTGAAGTTGAAGGAGCTAAAAAGATATACAATCCTGCCTTAGTGTCAGAAATATTTAATAAATTTTTTTTCAGACGTAACAAAACAGACAAATTACAGAGCCACAAATACTAAAGCTTTTAGTCAAAACATTAACCAGAAATCATTGTTCTTATTCCCAACAGTAGATTCCGAAGTAAAACAAATAATTCATCAGTTAAAAAACTAGATAAGCTCAGGAGCTGATGAAATACCGTCAACGATTTTAAGAGAGTGTTCAGACTTCATCGTTAATCCTCTAACCCATCTCAAACCACTCTTTTCTGCATGGACAATTTCCCAATGCACTCAAACTTGCAGTTGTAAGGCCAATTCTCAAAAGGGGTGACCATACGAAGTGTGATAATTATAGGCTCAGCTCTATGCTTTCAAGTTTGTCCAAGATATATGAAAAGGCTGTTTTAGAGAGGCTCTGGGCCCTGTGCATTTTCCGAAAAGAATAATATAATATTCAAAGATCAACATGGATTTGTCAAAAGCAAAAATACTACAAGTGCAATATTTTCCTTATTGAACCAAGTGTTGCAAGATTTGGATGCAAAGCAACGCTCAATGGGTATTTTCTTTGATTTGAGTAAGGCGTTTGACATGGTTGACCGTGACCTCCTACTAGCTAAATTAAACAACATAGGAGTCCGAGGAGTTGCACCAGAGTGGTTTTCGTCATTTTTAAAAGGCAATGTTTCGAAATACAATCCATAGATCACACCGGGCTACAAAGTAGATTTAAGTCTTCAGAAATTCCTGTAACGAGAGGTGTGCCTCAGGGATCCGTTCTTGGCCCTGTGCTATTCCTCCTCTTCATAAATGACCTCCCCTCATGCATAACACAAGGTAAACTGTGCCTTTTTGCAGATGATACTTCCCTAGCCTTATCCAGCCCCTCCCTAGAGTCACTCGAGCAAATGGCATTCATAGAGGCAAATACCTTGCTTCAGTGGTTTGATGACAACCTTCTGAAAACTAACACTGCAAAGACCGAGCTGATTAACTTTTCGAGTCTCAAACAGATCCCACAAAGATCCGAATCTGTCACTTCTTCTTGATCAAACCTTCATTCATCCTGTACAGTCTGTTAAATTCTTAGGCATCCATTTAGACGAATGTTTAAACTTCAAATCTAATGTTGATTACGTGATAAAACGTGTAAGTATAGGCATTTTTGTACTACGAACATTGGCCACAACAGTCTCGTCAGAAAGTTTTCTTCTTTCTGTTTATTACGGCTTAATATTTCCATATCTAGTTTATGCTCTGCCTGTTTGGGGATATGAAAATAATCATACCTCCTTTCTTTTTAAAATGCAAAAAAAAGGCTATTCGTGTTATATTTTCTCTTTTCAGAAGACGATCTTGTAAGGAATCATTCAGGTCAGCTGCAATTTTGACTCTTCCCTCACTATACATCCTTGAGACCCTTTCATTTGTAAAAAAACATCAGTCATTATTTACCACCAACATTAACTCCAGTACATATAACCTTGGGGGAGTATGTTTTATCTATGATATAGCTTACGCACATCATACAACTTAAACATTCCCGTCCATTCAACTTCATTTTTCCAACATCATCTTCTGTTCCAATAGAATTAAACTTTTTAACCAACTTCCTCAACATCTAAAGCTGGAGACTGATTTGCTCAGGTTTAGGAGAAAACTTAAAAAAAATTTTGGTTGAAAATGCTTGCTACAGAGTCCACGATTTTTCCACTGTCATGTAGTCAGTGATTTCTGTCCTGTTAGATTTACTAGAAGGTCAAATTGTTTAGTTAGTAAAGTTTTTTTATATTTTATATTTTTTACATTTAATTATAAACTTGACTATTCCAATGCAATGTAATTTTGTAATTCTGGAATAAAGAACTTATGACTTATTTAACATTTTTCACTTACAAATTGTACCAGCATAAAAAAAATCATTGAACAATATTTTGTTTTTAAATGTCGAAATGTCACAGATAAAATTAAAGCTGAACTCACGAGGATTACGAATTTTAAATCAGAACGAAAATGAGTTTAGTGGTTTCCATGATACAGGGTATTCTGAAAATATCAATATTTTCCATACAAATGGTCGCCATTTTGAAATTTATGAAGATAGAGGAGTTCTATTTTTACTAGTTTTGTATAGTCTAGATGAGCTTTGATGCATAACATGACATATGTTTACATTTTAAAACTCTGAGTTTCGAACCCATGACTCCTGTTTCTCAAATACCCTGTAGGCCTATTTTAAAAATGGTACAAATATTTTTACGTTGTTCCTTGGATATGAATTAGTGGGGATGAATATTTTCTATTTTCTACCTTATTTATTGTTGCTGACTAAGTTGATAGGCCATAACAGGGGTCTGACTTAGGGGAGGTACAAATGAGGCATTTAGTTCAAAATTCCTCCGTGAACAGCAATGTAGTAAAGAGCACTTTGGCAATGAAGGTTTACTAATCGCAAAAATAGTTCTGTTCATAAAATAAAATTATAAATGCCTAAAATTCTATTTTATTAATTTTTAATTATAAAATTAAACTATCATAACCTAACCGAACTAACCAAACTTGCTGATAAAGAAATAATATAACAAAAGTTTATAGTAATCGGAAAAATAATTCTGTTTATAAAATAAAACTAGAAATTGCTCAATTAAAATTTTATAATGACTTAATAATAAAATTAAACTGTAATAACCAAACCAAACCAACCAAAATTGCTGAAAATGAAAAAATCTTGGACAAAAAGTTAATGCCACCGGTGGGATTCGAACCCGGGATCTACAGTATATCAGCCCGGCACGCTAACCATTAGACCACCGAAGCCGATGGCTATCAACCGTTTTGTTACGGTAATGGCATTCCCTCAGCTAATAAGAAGCCCACAGCTGTCATCGTAGCCTCTTCTATACCTCCCCTGAGTAAATACCGCCATAACAGTTGCTATACAGCTAACAATAAGTCATTCCATTAGTTTTACTATGGTTTTACTTTGCAAAAACGTTTGTATATTCAAAAAAATTAAATTTAGATTTGTGCAATCTGTCGTTTTAACATCAACTAAGACTGTTGATTTAAAAACTGGTGACAACTTTAACATAGGGATGGAATGTCTCAATGTCTAGTTGTATCAATAATCAAAGCAATTGTTTGTTAAACCATAGATAAAACATACTCCTGTTAAACCAAGTCCAATGATCAACAAAGCTGAGCTTTCTAAAAGGATTTTCTAAGGGTTGGACAGGTGACCATCTTGCCGTATAAGTAGACTTTAGATCAATGTGATAATATTAAATAATCCTTCAGCTATCTCAGCTCTTGAATGGCCACTTATAAAAATAAATAGCATTACACTTTAATTTTGGTATGATTCAAGCAAAATTTGGTCTAAACGTTTATTTTTCTTTGTCATGTTGGTAGTTGGTATTGCCTTGCCTTATCAGCTGACATACTGAGGCTGACTGCATTGACTGCAATAAATTATTTCAGAATCAAATCTTTTATACAATTTTGGTCGTCGCCCGGTCCTTTTGTGTCTTGTCTTCCTCAGGCAGAGGCGTTTCCCTGTATTATGTGAGTACTTTAAAACATAGATCAATACCTCTTTATCGCACTACAAAATTATAATTCATACTATTTCAAAAATATTTAATTTGCAAGCTTTAGGCGTTGTTGATTCAAATTCTAACCTAGACAATTTACTGCTATTTTCTTATCAACTTTCATTTCATAATTTTTTGCCGGTTTCAATATCTAAAACAAGCTTTCAGAACCTCAATCTGACTTTGAAATATTTTAAAGTATTATTGATTTGTTGAAGAAATATTCATTTTTCGCTCTATCCCCTAAGCCTAAGGTGGCTGGACTAACTTAGGCCTATATGATTCAGCCTTTCTGTCTAGAGTTAAGATTTGGACAATTTTTCAACAACCTTAAGTTAAGTCATTCCAAGTTGTGATAGTTGTATTCTCACGTTTATCGTTTATCGGTAAAACTTTTGTAGCGGTAAAACATTTCTAGACCAGGGTATTCATTACCCGTGTGTTGGAAAATGCTGTAGGTTGTAAGAGTCATGTTTCATCAGCTCTTAGGGATGTTGTGATAACTTAAGCCTACCATCAATCTTCCGATACTTGGCATCGATACCGTATCGGGGCTGCAGTATCGACACCACATGAATATCACAACAAAAGTATTGATACAAAGTACAAGCTAAGAGGTACGGTAACTTAAAGTATCAACAAATTGATTTTTTTTCTAAATAACTTAAAATGTCATTACTTATTCTTATTCAATAACGTTTCATAATGAATGGTCATAGATCTTTGACCCTTTGGATAGTTCAAATTCAAATTCAAATTCAAATAGTTTATTGCCATTAAGTATACATGTCATACAATAGGCCAGGTCAATGGAGATAATATACAATTCAAAGTACAATGTACAGAGTCAAGTGTAAATAGATGAACATGCTATACTAATAAACTAATAATACTGGGTTTTTGTACAAAAGTATTTGAGATGTATTGATAATGATGATAATAATACTGTTTATAGTTAAGCAAACAAGTTGGGTAAGTGCCTATAACAAAATAATTACAAGGCTAAAATTGGCAGAGAGATACAGCTTAAAACTAAATAACAATAAATTTTTAAATAAAGTTCACAGAAATAACATTATTATGAAAGACTATTATATCACAGTTCATGAAACCATTATTACATACTTTAGAAACAATACTCTACTTAACAATTAAGTTAGAATTTTACAGAAAATCATCATGTTTGAAAGATAAAAATTCCTCGATAGAGTAGATAACCTTTCTGTTCAAAAAATCGGTCAATACATTTTTCAGTGACTTAATAGGCAAGTTGCGTACATTTTCAGGGAGGGCATTGAAAAGTTTAAGTTGTAAATATTTATAGCTGCGCTGTGTTGAGGCCAGTCTTAATGATGGTAACTCTAAATTATTCCTTAGTCTGGTGTAATGATTGTGAGTTAATGAGCGAGATGAGAATTGTTCAATATTTGTTTTTACAAAAATGATATTCTGCAAAATGTACACACTTGGTAAAGTGAGAATTTTGTATTCAGGAAAAAAGGTCTTACAACTAACTCTACTTTTTATGCCAGCTAGGATACGGATTGCTTTTTTCTGTTTTTTAAAAACGTTAACTGCCCCGCTACTACTGCCCCACAAAATTACCCCATAAACTAAGTGACAATGAAAGAATGCATAATAAACATTAATTAACATACTTAAACTAACATGATTTTTCAACCTCCTGAGCAGAAACAAAGAGTTACTTAACCTTGCAACAACCATTTCAGTATGACTACGCCAAGATAACTTACAGTCTAATATGATTCCTAGCAGTTTAGCATTTGATACTTCAGATACAAGATTTGTCTGTGAAAAAATAATTGAAACAGTTTTGTCATTGTTTACTGAAAATTTATTTGCCTTAAACCAACTATCGGCTGCTATTTTCATCTCCTCAGTTTTAATTTTTACCTCTCGCAAAGATTTGCTTGAGACTATTAAGGAGGTGTCATCTGCATACAGTACTGATTTTGAAGGAAGATTAGATGGAAGATCATTTATTGCAATTAAAAACAAAAAAGGGCCAAGTACAGAACCCTGGGGTACTCCTGCTGTGACTTCTTTCCACTGAGAGGTTTTATTGTTGGCTGATACCATCTGATATCTATTTCCTAAATATGATTTAAATAGATCTAAAGTTTTATCTTTTACACCATAGTAACTTAACTTATCAATCAACAGGCTATGAGAAACACAATCAAATGCTTTACTTAAATCTACTAAAGTTAACTATAAAAAGGTGTGTGATTCAAAAGCATTCAGAATGTCATCAACAACTGACTTACAAGCATCGATAGTTGATAAACCGGCTCTGAAGCCAAACTGGGAGTTGCTTAGAAAATTATGATTACTAAAAAAGGCACTTATTTGGTTATAAATACAACACTCAATAACCTTAGCAAATACCGGGACAAGCGCAATCGGTCTGTAATTTGATGGACATAAAGTGTCGCCTTTCTTGTGAATAGGCACAACTTTTGTAAGCTTAAGATTATTTGGAAAAACACCATTTTGTAAAACTAAATTGATAATGAATGTCAGAGGAGGAACAAGAGCATACTTGAGTTTTTTTACAATGTTTGTTGTTAAACCATAACAATCCTTGCTGGTGGAGTTTTTCAGATTATTGATGATTAAGTCTATATCTTGTGGAAATACATGCTCCCACATGAAGTTAAGATTTTCAGTATAACATTGCTTTGGATGATTATTAAGTAAATCAAAAGAACTAGGCCTATTTGAGTTGCAGAGTGCATTGTTGTTTGAACCATCAAAATTTGCTACATTGACAAAAAAGTCATTGAAGTTGTCAACATCTATAATAGGGTTGGATTTATTTTTATTAAAACTACCAGATTCAGACTTTATAATATTCCAGGCCTCCTTACTTTTGTTATCACAAGTATTGAGTTTATGGTCATTAAACTTCAGCTTTGCCTCTTTGATTTTGCTTTTGTACATTTTTTTGCACCTAACATAAAACTCTCTATTTCTATTTATATCACCTTCTACCATTAATCTGTTGTGAAAAATTGTCAAAAACTCCCTTATCTTTGCAAGTTCAGGTGTAAACCATTTATTTTTATTTTTCTTAGGTCTAGAGTGGATTTTACTGGATTTAATTTTTTTTACAGGACAAAACTCATTGAATTGACAAAGAACTACATTTAAAAAATAATCAAAGGCCTCGTTAACATCATTAATACAAAACAAGTCACTCCAGTCAGTGTTCAATAAACATACATTTAACCTACATAAACTATCATTAGTTACTTTACGAATTTCTATGAGATCATTATTTTGACTAGATCTAGCATTAACAAAGCCATCTAAAATATTCATATTAAGTGAAAAGTGGTCAGAAATTTTATAAGGAACCAAGTCTTGAACAAATTTGGTGAAATCAATATTTGTTATAAAGTTGTCCAGGCAGGCCTTATTATGAGTGGGCTTAAAATTTGTCAATCTTAAATTAAAAGAATTTAATAAATTAGAGAATTCCCTGGATTGAGGACTATCAACGAGTATGTCTATATTAAAGTCCCCACCAATAACAAGGAATTTATTTTTAAACCTGGAGTCAACCCAAACTAAAAATTCTTCAAGTCTCTCTAAAAAATCATAAACACAGTAGTCTGGCGTTCTGTACAGAGAAATAAAAAGATAAACGTCACTCACAAGAACTGCAGCTGCTTCGAAACCGCTAACCTCTGTCCATCGATGAATGTCGATGATCCTGAAGTCCAGGCCCTGGACTATGTATATTGCAGTTCCTCCATATTGGCCACCAGGTCGGCAGTAGGCTGCGGCGAGGTCGTATCCAGCAGGAATGTAGATTTTTGCTTCATCTTCATTTAGCCCAATGTTCATTAACCAGGAGAATGTGACAACCATATTCCTCTAATAGAATATCCAACTGCAAAGTTTTGTTTCTGATTGATTGTAGGTTTGTACATACTATAGACATGGTCCTATTTTCAGAAAAATCAGTAGGCCTACAACTATCTAAGCCTTTTGATCTAGTAGAGATGTTTGTAAGTTTTTTGCCATGGTGTTCTTTAATTGTTGTGACCTAGTAATTTCAGGTGTAGGGAAACCAGCAAAATTTACAATAATACTATCTGAATCAGAACTCTGCGGGTCGCCATTATTTGAGTCGTTTTCGCTAGGAACAAGTCCATTATAGGAAAGCTCAAGAGTTAGGCTACTATCACACTGCACTTGCTCGGGTTCAGGTTGATTCACCAACTTATCTACAATTGGTAGGCCTAATGTTTCGCTTTTGTCTAGCTGGTTTAAGTGGTAAGAGATCGAATCCTTTAGCATTTTACAAAGTTTATGCTTACCAGCGTAGTTCAGATGTAGTCCATGTTTGGTGTGATCACTTCTGCTGAAGGCAGTTTTCTTCAAAGTCACGATATTAGGAAACCTGGAGGTTTTAAGATCGGTTAACCTATCCAATGAATATGAATTAGTCTTTTTGATTTCACTATTCAGGTTAACTCCTAATTTATCATACCTGAGAGGTATTCCACTGACCAGGATGTTGGTGTTTTTAGTATTTTCCAAGAGTCTGTCAATGTTGAACTGGTGGGAAATATCTGGTTTGATAGATTTCACTGAATGATAAACTGGGTTGTTGTAAAAGTCATTAGTTCCTGCAAGAATTACTACAAAGTCCTTGTTAGTCAGATCCTTGCTCAATTTAACGTCACTGGTCACATCACAGAACCTGGCGTTAGGTTTGAAAAAAGTTGTTACATCAAACTTGTTACCAAGCTCTTCCTGAAGTAGTCTGCTGCAACCTCTTGCGTGGCTGTCTGCCAACAGGAGTACTTTTCTTTTCCTTTGCTTTGAATGGGAAGGTAGGCTAGGCTGTGAAACTGACTGACGTTGTGCTTCCTGAGTTTCGTCTAAATTAGCGAGGACACTGAACCTGTTCTCAAGTGTTAAACTCCAATCTTCAAT